TCTTGGGGTTACACTTAGTAACTCAGCTCCAGAAGGAAAGCTCACCATGGGTACTGTTAGTGATAGCCTTCTTGGTGAAGAAGCAAGAAGAATGGAACGAGACGAGTCTGTCCATCCCGAGGCAAATGTTGTTGAGAATCGGGGTAGGAATGAAGGTTGTGGACGTAGCAAGAGTCGAGATTCGCACCAATCTCGAGGTCGGTCTAAGTCACGCTCAAAGATTGCATGATATTATTGCGGAAGGATAGGCCACAATAAAGCAGAGCGTCGATCCTTCAAGAGAGATCAAAAGGCCGGTAATGTTAAGCCAGACCAAATCAACCCAACGAAGAAGCTGTCGATCCTTCAAGAGAGATCAAAAGGCCGGTAATGTTAAGCCAGACCAAATCAACCCAACGAAGAAGCAAGAAGAGAAGAGCACTACTGTCGTGGTAAGCCAGACCAAATCAACCCAACGAAGAAGCAAGAAGAGAAGAGCACTACTGTCGTGGCTGCAAAAGATGAACTGCTTTATCTTGTTGGAGAAGGTAATATCCTAAACATTTCTTATGATGATAGTTGTTGGATTATCGATTCTGGTACTTCTTTCTATGTCACTCCCCATAGAAGTTTCTTCTCATCCTACCAAAGTGGTAATTTTGGTACGATGCAAATGGAAAATCAAGATAGGAGCAAAATTATCAGGATAGGAGACATCATCCTGACAACAAGCACTGGATGCAAGCTTGTCCTAAAAGATGTGATACACGTCCCAACCATGCGCCTTAATCTTATCTCTGCTGGAAAGTTAGATGATGTTGGTCTAGTGAATTATTTTGGCGAAGAAAAGTGGAAGCTCACCAAAGGAAGTTTAATCATGGCTCAAGGAAAAAAAGGAAGGATCATTGTACATGCTGTAAGCTAAACTCTGTAAAGGGGAGGTAAATACCACCACCGGTGATATGGAGATATGACATAAACGACTCGGGCACATTAGCGAGAAAGACCTTCACATGCTCGCTCGAAAGAAACTCCTCCTTGACGTAAAAGGTAAATCACTTGACCCATGTGCTGATTGTTTGGCTGGAAAACAACATAGAGTTGCTTTCCAAAGATCCTCCCCACCCACAAGGAGAAAGAACATTCTAGACCTCGTACACACCGACGTGTGCTTGATGTCCGAGAAATCCATTGGTGGGGCATTGCATTTTGTCACCTTCATCGATGACCATTCAAGGAAGGTGTGGTTACACCTGTTAAAATTAAAGGATCAAGTACTTGATGCATTCAAGGAGTTCCATGCCCGAGTGGAACGTGAAACAGGACGGAAGATCAAGTGTGTGCGATCAGATAATGGAGGTGAGTGTAGAGGTCCTTTCGAAACCTATTGCAAGAAATATGGGATTAGGCTGGAGAAGACTCCACCCAAGACGTCATAGTTGAATGGACTAGCTGAGAGAATGAACCGAACTATTGTAGAAAGAGTTCGCTGTGTACTCTCTCATGCCAAGTTGCCCAAATCATTCTAGGGAGAAGTTGTGATGACTGTTGTTGACATAGTCAACCTCACACCATCAGTTTCTTTGGACGGAGACATCCCAAAGGAGGTTTGGTCAGGCAAAAGGGTTTCTTACAGCCATCTCAAGGTGTTCGGATGCAGGGCATTTGTTCACATCCCCAAAGACGAGCGAGCCAAGCTTGATGCAAAAACTAAGTAATGCATCTATCTTCGTTCTCCTAAGGATGAGTTAGGGTACCGACTTTGGGATCCAATCAACAAGAAGGCCGTCTGAAGCCGAGACGTTGTATTCTTCGAAGACCAAACAATTGGAGATATCCAGAAATCGGAGAGGCCAAGATTGAGAAGCAGCAAGAGCACAGATCTTACATCGGTTCGACGTGAGGATAATGCCACACCTGAAAACAATGATGCTGAAGATCATGAGCCTATCCCAGAGCAAAACAACCAGGAGACTCATGATGAGCCAGTTCAGGAAGAACCTCAGTTTAGCTCTCCACTAGCGCTCTAGTTGAGAAGATCTTCAAGGGACCGATTGCCATCTACCGATATAGCACAGGGGAGTTTGCGATGCTCACCGATGAGGGGGAGCCTCAAAGTTATAAGGAGGTCATAACTGACAGTCATAAAGTGGAGTGGATAAGAGCCATACAAGAAGAGATGCAATCATTGCACGAGAATAACACTTATGAAGTAGTGGAGCTACCAAAAGGGAGACGAGTCTTGAGGAATAAATGGGTGTATCGAATCAAGATCGAAGATAATAGCTCAAAGCCCCGCTACAAAGCTCGGTTAGTCGTAAAAGGATTCAGTCAAGAGAAAAGTATTGACTTTGAAGAAATATTCTCTCCGGTGGTAAAGATGTCATCCATCCGAGTTGTTCTTGGCCTAGCAGCAATGCAAGACTTGGAGATCGAACAGCTCGATGTCAAAACAACATTCCTTCATGGTGATCGAGAGGAAGAGATCTACATGGAGCAGCCTGAGGGGTTCAAAGTTACAGGCAAAGAAAATTTGATGTGCCGCCTAACGAAGAGTATATATGATCTTAAGCAAGCACCTATGCAATGGTACAAGAAGTTTAACTCTTTCATGGAAAAACATGATTTCAAAAGGACGGAGAACGATCATTGTGTCTTCATAAAGAGGTATGCAGGTGACGACTTTCTCATACTTCTACTCTATGTTGATCATATATTGATTGTTGGACAAGATCGCATAAAGATAGCTGCTTTGAAGAAAGATCTAAGCAAGAGCTTTGTCATGAAAATTTTGGGACCAGCTAGACAAATCCTTGGGATGGGGATCACTCATGATAGATCAAAGAAGTTGTTATGACTATCCTAAGAAAGGTACATTGAGAAGGTGCTAGAAAGATTCAACATGCACAAAACAAAGCTGGTCAACACATCACTTGTTAGACACTTCAAGATGAGCTCAAAGCAAAGTCCCACAAGTGAGAAAGAAATGGAGGAAATGAAGATGATTCCATATTCATCTGCAGTAGGCAGTCTCATGTATGCAATGATATGCACAAGACCCGATATCGCCTATGTAGTTGGTGTTGTTAGTCGCTTCTTGGCTAATCCGGGGAAGGAACATTGGGCTGCAGTCAAATGGATCCTCCGGTATATACGCGGTACTTCTAAGAAGTGTTTATGCTTTGGAAATGGAAAACATGTGCTAGAGGGATACACAGATGCAGACTTGGCCGGTGACATTGATTCTAGGAAATCAACGTCAGGATACCTAACTACTTTTGCAGGGGGAGTTGTTTTCTGGCAATCAAAGTTACAAAAGTGCATTGCATTGTCCATTACTGAGACAGAGTACATCCAGCTACTGAAACTTGCAAGGAGATGCTGTGGATGAAGAATTTGTTGCTTGAGCTGGGAGTAAATCAAGACATGTACTTCTTGAAGTGTGATAACCAAAGTGCAATTTACTTAGCAAAGAATTTAACTTTTCATTCCCGCACAAAGCACATTGATACACGGTATCACTGGATCCGAGAAGCTCTCGAAGAAAAACGCATACATATTGACAAGGTTCACACAGATGAAAACTGGTCAGACATGATGACCAAGGTAATACCATCCAAGAAGTTTGAAGATTGTTGTTAAGGTGCTGGTTTGCTACTACCTCCCAATTAAGTCGGGAGGGGGAGATTTGTTGGGATCCCTCCTTAATTGTGCTGGTTTGCTACTACCTCCCAATTAAGTCGGGAGGGGGAGATTTGTTGGGATCCCTCCTTAATTGGGAAGATTCTAGAAATTTCTAGAACTTTCTGGAGAACTCTAGAGAAGTGTAGAATTCTCTAGAAGCGTGTGGAATTCTCTAGAATATTCTAGAGATGTGTGGAGCCGTCTGGAACATTCTGGAAGAATATGGAATAGAATGGAGGAGTGCAGAGATTCCTTAGAAATCTCTAGAAATTAAAGATATGTATGGAGAATTCTAGAGAGCTAATCTCTACCCTTGGATCAAATTAATCCCCACCACTCATTATGAAGGTGGAGTAGTATAAATAGGGGTGGAAACCTTCATTCCTATCAATCCAAGACAAGAAAACAATCCACTTCCTAGAGTGAGAGAAAACCTCTAATATAGAGAGTTAGAGAGCCTCTTTGAGAGAGAAGTGAGATAGCTTAAGTCATAATCCTCAAGCTCGAGTGAGCCACCGAAATGAGACAGTTTTGTAAAATATAAATTCTTGTAATCCTACTATTCTTTTGTATAGTGGAAGAACCTCCATATTGGAGGACCATAAACTCTTGTGCTCCCATTATTATCTTAATTTATAAATGCCTATCTTAACATCATGAGGCGGGAAAGACCGAGTTTTCCCAACATCTTTAAAGAGAAATTCAAACATCTTAAATCTTACATATTTTTCACAAAGGCATTTCTCGATATATCCAGTTTGGACACATTTCTTTCCTTTTGCAATATGAATTGCATCGGCCAGTTCATAAAATGAAAGAAACAAGAAAATCAATAAACAGCAGCATCAACAACAAATCCTTTTTTGCCCTCCATATTTAGGGTTTGGGAGCAAGAAGATCAATTGATAATTCCCAAACTCTTTGAGTTAGTCCGCAAAAGATCATCAAGCATGTCTGATTTAAATCCCTGATCTAGATTTTGAAATTTTTATCCAAACTACTCGACGTTTACTTCCTAATATAATATTGGTCCACTGATTTTAATGTATAAGTCGTTCTTTATTTACGTTATATGTTATGCTCTTCTCCTGGTCAGTCTTCTAGTTTCAGTAGATAGAGTTGCCTTATAGAGTTTTGGGTTTATCTTTCATGTGTGCCGATATTCTTTCACATATTTTTCTAACCCAGTTTCTTTTGTTTGTCATCAACTGCTAATTGGATATTCATGTAGAAATCAATTTTTATTAATTGATTTTCCTCACCCAAATAATTACCTCACCATATTCTATCAGTTTTAGTTCAAGCTACACTTATCACGAACACATCTTCTCCTGTAGGTTGAAGACACAGAAAGACTAATGGAGATCATAAAACAAGCGGCAAGAGAGGGTGCACTCCTTTTATATACCCTTGTTGATCCGTCAATGGCCGAGGCAGCAAAGCAAGCTTGCCACGTATGGGGAGTGCCATCCACCGACATTCTTCGCCCCACGACCGAAGCCATCGCTGCCCACCTCGGTGTCGCCCCTTCTGGAATCCCACGTGGTGGTCGGAAGGGCCCACTCACAGAAGACTATTTCAAACGTATCGAAGCCATTGATTTCACAATCAAGCAAGATGATGGAGCTCTACCTCAAAATCTCAGTCGTGCTTCAATTGTTCTTGTGGGAGTTTCAAGAACTGGGAAAACCCCATTATCTATTTATTTGGCACAAAAAGGGTATAAGGTCGCAAATGTTCCTATCGTAATGGGTGTTGAATTACCAAAGAAATTGTTTGAGATTGATCAAGAGAAGATATTTGGGCTGACAATAAATCCGGTTGTGCTTCAGACTATAAGGAAGGCTAGGGCTAAGAGCTTAGGATTTGGGAATGATGTGAGGAGCAATTATTCGGAGATGGATTATGTTAGGGAGGAGTTGGAACATGCTAATAAAATTTTTTCTCGGAACCCTGTTTGGCCTGTGATTGGTAAGAAACAATTAATTTTCTTCTTCTTATTTTATTTATTTATTTATTTTCCCCCTTCTTGTTGGTGAGCCTACTGTATTTCTGTCGCAGAGGTCACAGGAAAAGCAATAGAGGAAACTGCGGCAGTGTTGGTGAGAATTTATCATGATAGGAAGAACAAGTGCTTTCTACCGCGAATATCAAAGCGATACTAGAGATTGCATTATGCGATGCATTTTATGTTGTATATATGTATACATTACTATCAGTGCCTAGTTTGAAAGCAACATGTAAATGAGAGAGTTGATGTATTTGCGGGCACTTTATGTTTTTGTTTATATGATGCTAAAAGGGTATGCTGTTTTAAACTGGTCTCATCCAAAAATCATGATGGACATGGTTTCTCATGCTTGGTATTATTTAATTGAGATAGATTGTATGATAGATGTGCTAGTGTTTGATTTTTAGAAAGCATGCATAATTAGCCGTAAAAATTGCATTGGGGGTTTGATATTGTAAAAATGTATATTTCTTCAGATTCAGGGTCTGTTTTGTAGGTAGGTATGAGTATATTCTTCTTTTCCTTTCTTCAGATTTTCACTTAAGGCCTCTCTGTTTTATTACTTGTATACAAGGACATGCTGTAGTTATTCTTCCATTTTCTATTTATATCAGGAGTTGGATGTGATACGATGTTCCATTTTGAGGTTTTTGGTGGTTTTTCTCTGGTATTTTATGTTGGGATGTATTTTCCCCAGTGTTAGGTTCTGTTTTGTAGGTAGGTATGAGTATATTATTCTTTTCCTTTCTAAATTTGTGGTCCTGCTCCGAGTCTGCGACTTATTGATGTAGAGTGTGCAGCTGATGAAAATTCATGGAGAAACTGGATCGTCCGAGAAAAAATTAATTTGCAAAGAATAACAGGTTGCATCTCCCAAACCATGCATCGGAATTAGAAGAATTATATATATAAATAGCATATTTTTATATCGGAATTGGACGAAATATATATGTAAATAGTATATTTTTGTCGGGACGGAGCCAACCAAATAATGTACAACTTTCATCAATAAAGAAATTTCTTTTTATTACATTTTCTTCGTGGATTAGAAGAGCACCCTTAGTTGATTTCGAGGTTTATCATTTCCGCACTACATTACTTTTTAATTTTATAAACTTGGAACTTGTTTGTTATAGTTTCTTTATCTCCTGCTAACCAACGGATAATCAGAATCCATTATCTAAAATATAAAATTCTTCAACTATATACCGAGCAACAAACCTCTTATTTAGAACCTATTCTCTCAAAATGTCATCATAACACTTTCATGTTTAAGTTGATCAGAAGAGTTAATGGACTGAGCTGACCATCTGATTTAAAAGTAACTGCAATAAAAATCTAAAAATAAAACAAAAGAAATCAAAACCCATTAAACAAACAAAGTGGGCAAAAAGATGGGGAAAATAAAAGAAGGCGGACCATGTGGGTGTACATTGCTAGTCAGGATAATTTTCCTAACAGCATCAATAATGATGGTCAAATTAAAATACAATTTCAAAGACAAATCTTTTGGACTGTGCACAGCTTTTGTCCAGTTGTGCTATATTTCTAAATGCTTTCTTCCACAATATTCCTTCTAGCTTTCTCCTTCGTTTCTCAGTGTGCCTTTTTGTCGTCTACCACTTTCCTGTGTGATAAACTTGCATAATGGAGTCATCTTTTTGCCGAGGGGAAGAATATAATTTAAAAGCTAGCATTTGATTGACTTGTAATACTTGTCTTTATCTTGAATTCTTAAAAGTAATCTTAGTACATTCTTCCTAGCGACAGACAAACCTATACTCGAAAGTTCAACGTTTGGAATAATTAGGGAAAGGTGAGTAATTCATAATTCAAAAAGAATTACGATGTATATTTCTAACTCTGCACTACAAAAGTTCAGGGCAACTATATGCAGACACATTGGACTTAGGATTGTTGTACACAGGAAATATTATTGCCTAACACAAAGTTATAACACTGTGAATACATCCCATGGCAATAAACTGGCGAACTTGTAGAATTATTTGCAAATATTGTAAAGTACGTACTAGGGTTATAAACTGCCTAAAGAAACTTACTCGATACAGTAGAATTATCGGCAACCAACCACCTTTAATTTATCGGCAACCAACCACCTTTCAATATCGAAGATGACATCAAACTTAGATAAAAGGTCTTCATTTCAAGTAAAGTTTGATCAGATTAATATTTCCTCTTTTTTCAAGAAGAGTCGTTCAACCAATAAATTGACTTTTCCATCCTTGGTAACATATTACTCTGCAGACTTACTAGAATATCTTAACATATGAAGATAGGCTCACATTTACAGGAGGTAGATTAAGATGTAAAAATTTTGAGGGAATAGGAGCATTTGAGGTTACCCACAAATGAATACAGTGTAGAAAACGATGTCAAATTGTTCAAAGTGTTGGCAAAACTGAAGATTCAGCAGGGGTGTGGTGTCTGCCACACCCAGGTGGGGTAGAATCTGCCCCTGTTGTCAGGGATGTGGTGTCTGCCACACCCAGGTGGGTGTGGCAGAATTTACCCTGTTTTCAGGGGTGTGGTGCGTGCCACACCCAGGTGTGACAGACTCGTTATCAGATTCTCATCATGTTTGGGATTGTGTTTTGTTATAAATAGAAACACGCTTTTTAGAGTTTCTTAAGGAGAGAATTAGCACTGCTTTGAGCACTTTGAGAGGGAGATATTGTGAGGGAGTTGAGAGCTTTGGTTAGGGTTATATTTGAGTAATTTTGTGAGTTATAACCCGTTGTATTTCTCCTCCATATAGTGAAATTTCCCCATCCTCTCCCTGTGGACGTAGGCAATTGCCGAACCACGTAAATTCCTATGTTTGGTTTGATTTGTGTCGTATTTGGTGGATTGCACTCGTATTTGGTTTGGTTTTCTTCTCTCATCGCTCGCGGACTCGTTTGGTTGTCGAGTATGCTTCCGCACGACGCGCAACAATTGGTATCAGAGCTCCAGGGTTTCAGATCTAGGGTTTTACATTGGGTGGAGGAAGATTCGTTGTTTAAAGCTTGGTTCTTGGAGTTCTAGGATTCGATAGAGATAGCGTTGCGGAGTTGCCATTGGGATCTCGCTTTCCTTATGTTGTTAGGAAATCGTGTTGGAATCCTATCTCTCAATTCTTTCAAAGTTTGAATCTTCCTTTACAATTTGGAGTTTGTAAGCATGGGAGAAGAAGTTGGTGAAAGCAGCAAGACAATGATGAGTATAGTTCAGGTTGGACTTCAAAATACTAAGATTAGTGTAGTAAAGTATGACGGTAAAATCAATTTTGGTTTGTAGATGAGCGACGTACAGGATGCTCTCAATGCTCAAAATTTAGAAGAGACCATCATGGTCCATGAGAGGCCATCGAAATACGATGAGGCGATATGGGACAAGATGAATAGGAATGCTTATGGGGTGATCAGGTCTTGGTTGGAACAAGAGTTGGAATACGATGTGGTTGGGGTGACATCTGCGATGAAGATATAGGAGATTCTTAACAACAAGTACCTTACGAAAAGTGTTGAGAATCAGTTGCATTTGCTGCGGAGATTATTCAGATTTCAGATGTCCATGGGCACCTCACGTGCGGCTCATGTGAACAAGTATACAAAATTATTGTCGGACTTGACAAACGTGGATGAGAAGATAACAGACGAGTACAAGGTGATTATTTTGTTGGGCTCCTTACCCGATGAGAAGTATGATACCTTCGTGCTCACTTTATTAAATAGAAGATCTTCCATCACCTATAGTGAAGTGACTAATGCATTGACGAATTACGATTTGAGGAGGAAGGACAAAGAGACTTTTCGAGAATAGCACTTCAGGAGAGGCCTTATCGACGAGAGGAAGAAGTTCATATCCAAGAGGTGGCAATAGAGACAAGTCAAAGTCAAGAGGCCACCACCAGTTGGCGAAGAACCAGTGTGCGTTCTGCAAAAATAAGAACATTGGAAGAGAGATTGCCTGAAGCTCAAAGAGAAGGAGAATAGCAAGAAGAAGGGCCCGAAGGCCAATGAGGTGAACGTCGCTAGATGTGATGATTCTGATGATTCGTGCTTTTCTCTATTGATTACTCCAGAGGTGAACCATGTGGATGCATCTAATTGGATGCTAGATTTTGGTGCTACTTATCATGTGACTCCCCAGCGAGATTGGTTTGCATCATTCGAGAGACTTGATGAGGGCGTGGTAGTCATGAGAAATGATCAATCCTGTGGTATTTGTGGGATATGTACCTTCAAGATCCGGATGCACGATGGAGTTGTTCGTGAATTGAATGAAGTGAGATTCGTTCATCAGTTGAAGAAGAATCTTATTTCTGTTGGAGCTTTGGTGGCGAAGGGATTCAAGGTGACTTTTGAGAACGTTGTAGCGAAGATTACTAAAGGATATTTGATGGTGATGAAGGGAGTCCGCAGTACAAATTTGTATTATCTAAAGGGAAGCACCGAGATTGGCCAGGTACCTTCAGCTATGTCAGATGTAGATGCGAGCAGACTTTGGCACTATAGGTTGGGGCACACAGGTAAAAAGTCACTGCACGCTTTGTGCAAGCAGAGGCTATTAAAGACAGCAAAGAGTGGAAAGATAGAATTCTGTGAGCATTGTGTTCTTGGTAAGAAGAAAAAAGTAAAGTTCGGGACAGCCATACACAGGACGACGAGCATCTTGGACTACGTGCTCATGGATGGTTGGGGTCCCACCAAGACGGCATCACTTGGTAGTCGGCATTGGTTCGTCACTTTTGTAGATGACTATTCTAGGGGTTGTTGGGTGTACACCATGAAGCATAAGAATGAAGTCCTAGAGTTATTTGAGGAGTGGAAGAGGAGATTAGAACTGCAAAGTGGGAGAAAGATCAAGACGTTGAGATCTAATAACTGCGACGAGTACACTTCAGACCCCTTTCAGCAGCTATGTCGAGACGAGGGCATAGAGAGACACTTTACAGTTAGTCATACGCCACAGCAGAATGGGGTGGCAGAGAGAATGAATCGGTTTTTACTGGAGAAGGTCCGATGTTTGTTATTACAAAGTGATTTGGAGAAGATCTTTTGGGCTGAGGCGCTTTCATATGCGAGACACCTCATTAATAGGCTACATTCATTTGCGATTGAGGGGAAAACCCTATGGAGATGTGGTCGAGAGAGCCAGCACATAATTATGATTAACTCAAAGTATTTGGGTGCCCTGCATTTTATCATGTGAAGACTGGAACTATGATCAACTCAAGGTTTTTGGATGCCCTGTATTTTATCATGTAAAGACTGATAAATTAGAACCTCGAGCTAGAAAGACCATATTTGTTGGATTCAAGCGTGGTGTGAAAGGATACAAGCTTTAGGATCCAATTGATAAGAATATTATGTTGAGTAGA